TTTTTACATCATGAAACTAATGTCTGGCTTAATTTGGGTGAGTGTGTTTATTGTTCATCCGTCATTTTATTATTATTTTCACATGTAAAATCTTTTTTAAAAGTTTTTTCGCATGCAAATGGTACCAAATGTCACGGGCAGCCGACTGACAACAGCAAAGCTTGTTGCCACTATAAATAAGTTGCATTGTGTATTCATTGTTGTTCTGCATATTTCCAAACCTATTATTCTATTTGATTTTCGAGTCGTATTCATAAAAATGCCTCGCCTCTCAAGTCCCATTTCGCAAGAAGAAATGTTGTACGATAACCAAGGTTGTCAAAACCAAACCGGTCATCGAACCAGTGAAGCTACCGGTTCAATGGTTCATTTATCGGACCAGTGGTCGAACCGATTTAATTAATATATAATTTTTATTTATTTTTTATATATAATAAATAATTATATATATTTTTATCATTAATTTTATAGTATATAATGACATTTCTCTAAATAAATAAAGGAAAAAATAAATAAAGAAACATGCTTAGTTTAATTATATTAGCTATGTAGATTATATATGTTTGGAGTGAAATAAATAAATCACCAAAACTCCAAATTAGTTGGGGTTTGGATTTTGTTAAATATATATATATATATAAATTATAGGCCTAAGTAAAAGAACAAATAAATAAATAAAATAATAATAATAATAATAATAATAATAATAATAATAATAATAATAATAATAATGTAATATAAAAAAATAAAAAACAACCAAACCACCTCACCTGCTTTGTTGCCCAATACCCACGCATGTCTATAACAAAAAGAAAAGCATTCACTTTTAGTTATAACATCAAAATAACAGGCCCATAAAAGGCCCAATATGCCTTTAATTTTGAACTCCCACATCGGGAACAAAAAGAAAAGCATTCAGAAAAGCATTCAACTATTTATAGCATTCAACCATCACATCTGCTCAAAAGAAAGAGTTGGACAGCTCTGCTTTGCAGACCGTGGCTGGTTCTCTGGTTTTATCGGTTTTTAACCGGCCTGAACGGTTTTGATCCGATTCTGAGTTCCAACGGTTCAAGGTCTCAAACCGAGCCGGTGTAATGTCCGGTTCCCAGTTGAACCGGTCGGTCCGGTCCGGTTTTGACAACCTTGATGATAACCGTTGGATGAGAGTTGTTGATAGTTTATTTGTTGGCACTCTAGTGGAGTCACATGTCCTGGGAGTTGTTGATAGTTTATTTGTTGGCACTCTAGTGGAGTCACATGTTCTGGGCTCTTGGACACACGGCCATCCCCCACTGCATGTGTTTGAGGATTCCAAGGCAGTGATGCATGTGTTTGAGGATTCCAAGGCAGTGATGAATGGCGAGCTGGAAGTTGTTTTCATGCTTGAAGAACTTCAAAAGAGGTTATGTTTCTTACATATACGATATAATATCTTCTCTTGGATGCTACGCAATCACAGGGTCCGTCATTGTGTGTCCATTCAAACGTCATAATGACCCTGTCGCCATTTGGGATGATATTTTTTAGGTATAATTTTCTAATTCTTTTTCGAGCAATCTAACTTTTAATTATTTCTCCATTACGATACATTTGTAGCCATTTTTTACACATCCATAATTTCAGTCATAGCGACATGAATGTGTTTCATAAACAATTTTATTACACGTCGATAATCTTCTAGGCCTTATTGTTATTTTTCTTAATATCCTAGACAAACCCTTTTAGTGTGGCATATCAACATTCCGGTGACCCTCATTGGCAAGATTTGAGATTCACGTTTGAAGAGGTCTATTTAGCCACCGAAACCATTCTTGTTGTTCAAGATCGCAATTCTACAAATGCACCAGTTATAGCTCGTAATGTCACGCAAACACATGTTGTCTCCGACAACTCTTACCATAATTCTCTACAGCATGTCTCGAGTCGTAATATTTTTAGCCGAATGCATACTGTGTGTCCCCATGATGCCTCGTCCGAATATTCTGTGAATGCACAAGTCGGCATTATTATAGCAAGATCTGGTGGCCAACCAAATTTGCGCATTCCACGTCCTCCCTGCAAGTCTGGCCCGACATCTTGTAGGGGCACACAAGTAGCGATCCACAGGGTTAAGTTTGGCAAAATACATTGTGCGCTTGTTCTATGTATGCTACATTAAAGTTGAGAATCACATTTGGTAATGGTTTATGACCTCTATTATTTTTGGTTCATTTTGTATGTCGGCTTCCTTAAATGTCTATTATTGTACCTAGCGTTATCGTGCAAGTAATGTTCGAGTTATTATATTTATGAAGCACACTTCTTTATATTGTTATCAAAAAACAGTAGATTGTGCAATGTTTGTTTCATAACATTTGTGATAACTATTGGTGTCCCGAGCGTGCAATTGTGCATTTTTTTCTAGATAAGGCTTGTGTTATACAAATTTTTAATATAACCACACGTACATTGCTATTTGAAAAAAAAAAGAAAGAAAAACAAAATTGAGGCACAGCTGAACTACATGTACGCAGTTTTACCTGGAAGGCAAGTTATAGGTCTTACAATATTTCTACTTTGAGCAGAGATTGCAAAGAAGAACATAAAGAAAAAAAAAAAAGGAGAAAAAGTGTTGCACATTAATACACTTTAGCATAAACGAGCATCAAAATGCATTGGATAAAAATTGCCCACGGTCAGTACCGTTTCTTGCAAAATATTAGGGCCATCACTTAGTTGGAATCTTCATAACACACAAAAAAATAAACCGAATCGATATGAACTTCTAAAGGTCACAGTCATCCGACACACACCATCAATACATAACTTCAACACAAAAGGATATTAACAAAATAGTTGACACCAATTAAGATATATAAGATGGGCGATCTTCAGGCAACAGGTTTAGTCGGAATCAACACACGAGTTGCTGTCAGTGTTAGGCTTCATGACATCCAGTTCCTCGTCATCATCTATATCGATGAAGTCAACTCCATCAGGCTCGGGAGCAATGGGTCCATGCAATATGGCAACCACATTAATGTCTTGGGCACCATTCACTGGATTGTGTTGTGCGTCATCACCAAATTGGTTTCCTGGGATTTCTTGTTCACCCATCCGGCCGATCTCCACATCTATATCCTCATTGGTGTCGTCAAATGTGATTGGATTGGCCTGACAGGCACCGGGTCCACCCGCCATATCCACCTCAGTAGTCGCGCGCTCACCCCACAGTTCCATGCATTCCACGTACCACCTAAAGCCGAAGATTCAGAAGAAACACTCATAGTTAGTCTCCTTTAATGTTTATGACCAAAAAAGAAAATGAACATAATATGATTAATTTGTGACTAAGACGTATACAAAAAATCATTTAACATAAAAACTCTACAAATGTCCATGCAATATCCAATTAGACATAATATAAATAATAAATAGTTATGAAAACGATAAAATCCCTTCAACAAAAATAAAATAAAATTTCAGATAGCCATACCCATGTAGGGAAAGTAGCAAAATAGAGATTATGTACTTGGAGTAGCTTTATCAATGGTCTACAATCATATCATAATATATTTGTGCAAATTAAAATTTGAACAAATTTTTAATTTTTCGTGAGTTTGCCCAAAATAATTTCAACACAAAGTTGAATCACAAAGCACTCATAGGTCATGGAGCATACATAATCGTAGATAAGTTATAATGAACTCTAGAAAATATTATCAGAAAACATTACAACCTGCCATAAATTAAAAATAAAGTATACATGGCCGACATATAACCAAGACGGTGTGGTAACCTTCACAAGACCCCTACCTCTGTAGACGGTGACCCATGGAATCGCAACGTACATTTCAAATTATTGGAAGTGTGTACGTAGCATGTTGATTTTTGCTTTTATTTTAATGACAAAAAATGATTTTCGCACTGTTGCGGTCGTTTCTTGAGACAACCGCGACCATAATGAGTTGAAAACTGTCGGTTGATGAACATCTTGCGTCTCCCAGCAAATATCGAAAAAGATCCGACCCATGCAATATAAAAGTGATATAATCCATGTAATGAATATACTAAACCAACCACGTTACCATATGTCACAATCGTCCTCGTCATCACTAGAAGTATGGCCTTCCGAATCTTCATCATATTCTTCTAACGTTCAATTTTCTACTTCATTGTCATCTTCATCAATGAATGTAGAACTATTATCTACCGAAGGTGCCCCCATATTTGTCTCAACAGCTGTTGATGGAATATCAGTCCTATGCCATTCTATAGAATCTCTAGGACAATTAAACAAGTCACTTGTGTTATGTGATTCATTTTTCTTGGAGGGATTCTTCAAATATTACGTTGTCATCGTTGTGCTTCTCAAGCACATTCAAAGAGCTTCTAGTTTGTGCCTCAATTATAACTTTCCAATCCTTTCCTAATTTATTATCATCAGCATAGAGCACCTGTCGTGCTTGGGATGCTAACACAAATGGCTCATTGGTCATCCATGGATTTGTTGTGTTAATACTCGTATAGTTAAACTTGTCCCTCTGGACTGATCTACATTCATACCAGGCACGTTTAAACACCACCACTTGATGGTTTCCCAAAAAGTCAACCTGAATTATTTCTGTCAACACACTATAGTAATCTAGAAATTCAAATTGATCCTCCACCTTAACAACCACACCAAAATTTTGTGTTCTAATAATTTCATGTTTTCTAGTATGACAACACAATCCATTCACAATGAAAGCCTCATAATGAGTTACTCGTTTGTCTGGACCATATGCCAGGTGCGGGAAATCCTCATTAATATGTAGCATCTCTTTACCAAATGTCAACTCAATCTGTAATTGAATTCAAATCAGTAATTTCCAACAAAATGAACAATTATGCTTAGATATGTATAAATCAAAATGTCTTCCACGTTTTTCAAACCATTTTGTGAAAGACTTCTTATGATCTTTCTCCACGTTTTGGCAACCATTACGTTCCAACTCTTCCTTGTGTTCACTAAAAACAAAATTTCAACAAAGGGAAAATTTTACTTCTAAAGATACAAGTTACACAATAAATGAATTTCAAGGTATATACATCCAATTGCATTGAACATCAAAATAAAAATTAAAAACCATAAAAATAAAGCTAACAATTTATTTTTAATAACAAATCATGCGTTCTCCTATTTTGTGGGGGCATCCAGCCATATGTAGGTTGTAATATGCGTGAGAACATTGCAAAATATATGTACAAAACAAATTTAGAAATCAATTGAAAATTTTTTATTGATATAACTAGCACAATATTACAATAGAATTGATATCTCAACATTAATAACAAATTCCTCTGATTTTCTATTAATTTGGTAACATCTATATACCAAAAACTATCTATTTAAGTAGTTCAAAAATATCATTTGATTTTATCAATAACGGTATCGAACCAGTTTTTTAAAAATACATGTTGTGATTTACAATATCATAACAAATCTCATATAATTAATAGATTAGAAAGAAAATTTGAAATATTTATAATATATTATTATAAGTTATAAGAAAAAAATAAAATAATATTAACATAATTAAAAATTGATAAATTTTTAAATTTAAAATAATATATATTACAGTCTATTCAATTAAGTGTTGATTAAAATATTTGACACAATTTTTCAATTTTAGCATATTAGCATAACTTATTTAGAATCGACATAATATATTGTAATAATGTATGAGTAAGGGAGAGAGAGAGAGAGAGAGAGATTATGTAAGTATAATTTATTGATAATGTTTGAATATATTAAATTTCCATTATCCTTATTTATAAACAGGAACTCTAAAATAACAAGTATTGTATATAACGAGTGAAATAAACATATAAATTATATATCATAAAACAAATAAAATAATATTAGTATTCAAAACTATTTTTATACTAATCAACATTCCTTCCCTGATTTAATACATATAGTTTATAATTATTGTCCTGTGCATCGCACGGACTACGTACTAGTATAATGGATGACTTAGAATTTGATATATACCTACATTTCACGATTAAGATCATGTCATTTTACTTATCCCATCTACTTTAAATCAACAACCCTTACTCTTACCCATCAATTATATCAACATTTATGACAAAGTATTATTTTTTCTTTTTTTGGGTACAAGACAATATTATATTAAAGTAATATCATTCCATTCTATATTAGGATAAATCTGATTATCCTAGATGTAGTTAAACAACTATCTACTCAAATCCGGTTATCCTTAATGTAGTTAACTAACCATCTACACAACCACTTGCACGACGTTACCAACAAAATGTATTAAATGTGATAGATTTATTTTCAATTACTTTAGAGCTTCTCCAGTGTATGAACGTGAATGTTAAATGTTCATGCCACGTGTTTGTACATAATAGGTTAACTACATTCTCTTAATATCAATGTTGACAGTAGGATTAACAACAACCAAATACTACGTACAATCTACTTTCTTTCATTCTTGTTGACTAGGATATTTATTTTTTAAAGTATTTATATTAAACTGATTTCCAAAATTTTAATAGATTGCACGAGTCTTCAAGTAGAGTCCATATCTGAATAACAACTTAACAATCATCCTAAAATAGCCTTAATTTGCCCATAAATACAACATGCTGAGAATGTTAAATGATAACCATCATATTATCCTTTGCGATCTTAAACATATTTATATTTGGAGACTCAAATCTTGATTTTAAACATATTTGGAGACTTATTTTCTCCACTTTCCCGAACTTTTTATTCCACGATTCTACAAACCTTTTATTTTTCCCACGATTCTACAAACTTTGGGACGTTGTTTCTGAGTCATACCGTCAAAGACACTGTGTGGTTTCAAACAGTGGGCTTCACTACTGTCAAGTCACGTCACACAAAATTAGACCACGACAGAACCCATTGGAGAGAGAAATCTGAAGACATTATTTCTAATAGTGACATGGCATTAATTTTCATCACACAAAATTAGACCATGAGAATCCATTGGAGAGATAAATATGAAGATAGTGACATGGCATTAATTTTTTTCACTTGACAGTAATGCATTGGAATTGCTCTTAGAGGTACTTCAGTAACGTTCCAGCGTTGGTGCTTAATCATGTAACAAGTTAAAATCTTATAAATTAATCTTTCCAGTCATGGTCAAAAAGCAGAACAGACCCTGCTCTTTCAACTTGGACAGATCTATCAAGTAATTNTTAAAAAAAAAAAAAAGGGAAAGGCAGGATGAAAACAGATCTGTGAAAAATGTTGAATAGTGACTAAAACGAATTAACCAGAGATAAAAGAATTATAACGCTTGCTCTTGATTCATCACAGTAAAACATACTCTAAAACCATAGATTGCCCCGCATACGCTAGGAACAAACCAGTGACCCCCACAAAAAAGGCAGAATTTCTTTTAATTGCAAACCAACTTTTCAACATAGTTACAAGTGAACAAAATGCCAAGGCAAAAACCTATTAAACCCATAGCAAACAAAACAAAAGACCAACTATGCTTGATTTCCTCCACCCCTCAGACCACCACCACCACGGCCCCCCATCCTTCCACGGCCCCGCACAAACCCTCTGCCGCCTCCACCTCGGCCCCTTCCATATCCATCACCTGCAAACAGTTTATGCATCTAAATTAACCCCAATCATTCTCTAAAATAGCCAATCAAGCCTTAATTTATCTTCTCCTGTCCTAGTATTGAATGAAAAACACAAGTTTACAATTTATGAATACCGAGCAAGTTATTTTCCATTACGCACTACACAAACGGGGTGACCTATAAAAAAAGTATAGAACTCGTACAGATAATTGAACATAACTGGGATGGGATATTAGTCATTTAGTAACCAAAATATAGTTAACAATTAAGTGCAGGGTTTTATATTTTCAGAGAGAACCAAAAAATTTCTAATAACACTATGTTTCCTGTAACTACAGCAAAAAAAGACCTGCCAAACAATAAATGGACTGTACAAAACCTGGAACCAATTGAAGCTTTGGCAAAACCCAGAAATTACAGAATCTACTTCACCAATTTAGAACAAATAAAAAATGTAATCATCTGAAATTAAAAGCCAAAAAAAAAAACAAAAACAAAATAGTTCTACTACTAACCTCGATAGCCCCAACCCCCACGCCCACCACCTCGTCCCCAGTTAGGGTATCCACCTGAGTAGGAACCCTGATACCCATCATTTCCTCCCGAGTAGCCACCGCCATTTCCACGTGAATAGCCACCCCTATTTCCTCCCGAGTAGCCACCGCCATTTCCACGTGAATAGCCACCCCTATTTCCTCCCGAGTAGCCACCATGATACCCACCATTACCACCAGAATACCCACCTTGATACCACCCACCATTCTCTGCCAAAATATGAAAAGAAGAAATAAATGAGAGAACAAAATCACTGATATACAAGTTAAGAGGCATGAATAAGAGCTTAATTCTACTAATTCATACAGAATTATCGTTTTTGGTACCTTGGTAGTTAGAATATCCACCTCTGTTCCAGCCTCGGCCCCTTTCTCTACCACGTCCCCTTCCCCGTCCATATGAATCTAAAAACTCAAAGGAGTGCGAAATCATTGACTAGCCATGATAGCAATTTATAATAGGAATTAAATAA